GGGCAATTGTTGGAGATTCCAAAAATAATATTATATACAGAGTGTTCCATTTGAAAAATCAAAGTTGCTACTGCTTTCTAATAGAAGCGGCAACACCGCATTGTCGAAAATATTTTAGTTGGCTAGAGAATGTCCGAATATGCCCTCCATTAAATTTTCAAAGTGTCTGGTTCACCAGAAACGTCTAATGTGCCATCCACCGTGAATCAGCCTGTATATTCGGTATCCGGGGCTTGCTGTTTGTTTCCAATGGCCATTGGAAGTACTCCATGTAGGCATTTTTCACGAAGTTCGACACATTTAAACAGAATTAGATGATTGTATATTTACCACAAATGTGACAAAATCTATTATGGTTGTGTACACTAGTCCTTCTAGACTAAGCCATTGCAAAAAAAAAACAGAAACCAGTAAGACGATATCAACATTCAAAAGGAGAGTACATTTTGAGGGGGTACCTGTATCTCCTAAATTAGAGCTGCTAGAGAAAATCTGCAGTGTGGTATACGTTTAACTAACTACGTCTTATTGAAAGTGAGAGATTTTTTTATATGGTATACTAACCTTTGTCTCCAATTTCTAGTACTTCCTGATCGTTTGTACTGGAACTTGGATTCGGACTCTCTCATGGATCTTTGGTACTGCTTCATTTTGACCCAGGATCGACCAGCTGTATCGTATGTACACCAAACGGTTATGATGACAGATAACAGAATACACCAATTGAAAATAACCATAGCTGAAAACAACAAATTTTTATTCTTAAAACACTTCAGCAGTGTTTTCAGATTGTGGGAGGTTTGAAACCAAAAAAACAGCAAAATAAAACAAATCATTAACATTAACATTAATTTTATTAAAGTTTAAAATGTTTTTTGACTTTAGAGTTTTGTCTGTATCCAATATGTCACCGAACTTGTTACAGCATTTAACTCCTATGTGTTTGGGAGCATGTTGTGCAATTTCTAAGCGTGAAGAAGGTTGGTGAATGTTTAATTTGTTTCGTGTATTATAAGAGTGTAAATCAGATTTTTTTTTGAATGCTTGATTATTTTCTTTGACATACATTATAAGTTGCAGAATATATAAACTTGGTAGTGTTAGATTTCTTTAATGAACTAGATAATTACTGGCAAATACAAGTATTTAAGACAACATGAGATAAAAAATACATATTTTTTGAACAGAAAAAAAATATTACTCTGAATCAAGAAACATTGCGCATTGAAAATATGAATGTTTCTTTAATGAACTAGATAATTACTGGCAAATACAAGTATTTAAGACAACATTTTAGGCAGCAGCAGCAGCAAATGTACATATAATCATCGACAATAAAAGTCTATTTGGAACCTTTGGTGTAGTAGTTAATATTATCGGAGTTTTTTCCCAACACCAAACCGTTATATTGACACCTCGACAAGTATTTCGATTACCAAGTGATCATCTTCATGAGGAAGATTCAAACTGTTTTAATCTTCCTCTTGAAGATGATCAATTGGTGATCGAAACACGTGTCGAGGTGTTAACAATTACGGTTTGGTGTTGGGATAGAACTCGTAGTTTATTTAGGTCATTTTTTTCAATCTACCGTCGTCGGTAATGTCCATATAGTCCAATGGTTTTCTGACATCGTTAACAATGTTCTTTGAATCTTGTTATTGTCAGAACTTTAGTTAGTCTTAACTATGTCGTAGAGCTTACCTCAATCCAGCACAGAGCTGGCAGAGCCCCATCGAGTTGGCTACCATGAAAACGGGCCAGCCGTAGGCCCCAACTGCAAAATGGGCAAAGTGGATAACGGTCTGGAAGAGCTCTAGGTCTGAGCCGTCTTCGTGTAATGATAGAAAGTGAGTTCTGGGTGTTATGGGGACTCCAGATAGAAACTCGTAGGTGTCGTTCTTACGCTAGAAAAATATCGAATAGAAATCGATTTTTCACATATTCCATGATAAAGTTGAAACCAACATATCGGTACCAAGTTTGTTCAACCGTGATACGAAAACTATTATTTTCTAGTGTCACTTCAGACCGAAGAAATATAGTCGTTATGTGTATAAGTAGGTTTTACTACGATGAGTAGTGGCTGTTGTAAAAACATTGATTTTGAACTATATTATACACACATCGGAAAAGTATGATTTGTGTAATTTATTAAAATTGATATTTTTTGCAAATGTGTTTGATTCATTTTCATTTTCAGAAGGTGACTTCATTGTTCCTGATATTTCCAAGTATACTGGGTAGTGGTCGGTGATATCAATTTTGAATAGTGACGGGCTCAATAGTATGTTATGGTTAGCAGTATTTTTACGAACGAAAATATGATCTATTATGGTTTGTGTATTAGACGTAACCCTGGTCGGCTTATTGATATAGGAGAAGTAACCATTTTCAGCAAGGATGTTGAGGTATTCATTTGTCTCGTCATTCCATTTGGATTCCAGGACATCGGCTACGGAGGCACATCTTCACCGACAGCAGGAGGTTGCATATCTTAATGACAGGTCAGAGAGAGTTTCTTGGGGGTTGAAATAGCATATTACCAATATGTCTTGGCACAATCATGTCACTGGAATTGCAGAGGCTGCTTCTCAAAAGCTTGGAACACTGTTCCGAATCAGAAAACTGTACACACTTAAACAGCTTTTGATGCTTTATAAAACTCAGATCAGACCTTCTTTAGAGTATTGTTTCCATGTATTGAGCTCTGCCCCCAAACATACCCGGAAGTTGCTGGATCCATCCAGAAAAGAGCCATTTATCTGATTGGAGACGCGAACATTACTTGCGACCTCGAACTTCGAAGAAAGGTTAAAAATTTGTCTCTATTCTGTAGATACTTCCACGGGAAGTGTTTAAGTGACTTGGCACATTTGATTCCACCAAGAACGGGCATACTGGACCAACGTAAACAAGTTGACGTGGTGTATACGGACTTCAGTAAAGCATTTGATTGGGTTTCACATCATCAGTTGCTCATGAAATTATCAAACTTTGGCATTTCGAGGAGCCTTCAATATCTGCTGAAATCATATCTTAGTGATAGAAAATTATTTGTGGAATACGAAGGAATTAAATCGTTTACAGTTAATGTAACTTCCGGGGTTCCTCAAGGTTCAAACTTGGGTCTACTATTATTTCTTCTGTTTGTTAATGACATTTCTGATAATATCAACTCTGATGATATGAAGATTTTCAGGGAGATTGAAGACTACTCTGATTGTATATCATTACAAAACGAAATTACTGAGTTACATGATTGGTGTCAGAAAAATTAATTATCATTAAACTTAGGCAAATGTAAAATTATGACTTTTGCATGGAAATCCTCAGTACACATATATAAATACAAATTGGATTATATAACATTGGCAAGAATTACCGAATCGAGAGATCTGGGTATTATCTTTGATGAAAAACTAACGTTCTCGTCACATATCGAAGAAATAACATCCCGTGCAATGAAAATGCTAGGATTTGTTATGCGTAATAGCAAAGAATTCTCATCATTAGAGGCAATTAGCTCTATATATTATTCATTGGTCAGAAGCAAACTGGAATATTGTAGCTCCATATGGAATCCTTGTCAG